CCAAGGATTTTTTATTTTCAATTTTAGAACCATAAAAAAGCAAACTTGAAACCGCAATTGTTAGATATTTTTCCTTTTGAAATTACTTAAAAGATTAAGCATTTATCAAATGTTATTGACTCATCTAATGGGGAAAAACTGTTTAACGGTAAACTTTCAAAGTTCTTCAAGCCATGAAATAAACTAGTATAATTGTTAAGCACCCTTTTAATATGGGTTATGTTTAATCATTACTATTTCCTACATACCAAGACATTTTCAGAGAATGACTCTGATGTTCAATTGATGTGCACAGGGGTGTAACATCACAAGGGTCTAATACAACCTCAGCTGAAGCTTCTCTGTGTTTTAGTGTTTGACCCTCTGTGGCAGCTTTCACCAGTCAGGCCTGTAAGATATCATTAATTACTGTTGAATGTAGAGGGAGGTGGAGTGCAGGCACATCAGCAGTTTCTTATATATTTAGCTGCGTTTGTGAAGTAAGTTACCTGTTGGTGAGGGCAGAGTAATGGACTGTCTGCCCAACAAGCCCCCAGGCTACAATTAGGGGAAGCCTCTCATTCCCCTCTTCTTAGATACTGTATCTCCCTCCACTCTCTCTCTCTCTCTATTTCTTTCTCAGCCTCTGTCTTCATCTGTCTCTCTCTTCCCTCCTTGTTTTTTGTTCCTCCCACTCTTTCTCTCTCATGTCAATCTCTTCTTTTGTCTTGTTTTCAGCCTTCAGTCAGTTAGTTTAAAGGCCACCAGGGGATAAATCTGCCGGGTTCACACAATACTGCAGAACGAACACGCCAATAAATACACACACACACACACACACACACACACACACACACACACACACACACACACACACACACACACACACACACACACATGCTTGACAGAGTTGATGGAATCCCCCTGCCTGTGCTTATGCTGTTTTAATCCTTATACGTTTATTGGCATCAACAAAACCTGGGAGTTTGTCCTGACGTGTAATATTGTGTATTTGTGCACAGATGAAAAGGGTGTATGTGGGTCAGTGAAAGTTGATTGCATGTGTGTTTGAATGCACTTAGTGCTTCCATGCATTTGTCAGTGCACATGACTAGTGCATACCCTCATAAATATGTGTATATAGTTCTGATTTACACAGGCTTTACGGTCTAACAGGCTCTATACTGTAGGATTTACTTCTCACTCCCGTGGAGCAGCTTACTGAAATTTGCATGTACTGGTTTTGCCAATCAGGAAGGATGCCACAATCCTTCCTGTGAGCGGCTGTATAAATCATCACACCCCAAACTGCCATCCACTTTTTTCAGCCCCTGAAAGAGCAACATGAAAGCTAAGAGGATTACCTGAAGTCAAGAATAGCCTTGTGTTCTCTAACTTCTCTTCAGATATGATGCTGCCTCTCTTACCATGGTCTTATCGCTGCCACAGATCCTCTGTCCTTTTCCTACTCCTGCCTGTTAAGGAAACAAATGCCCCGCTAAAGGCTTTCTAGATCTCACCGACTGCCTCTTGCCACTGATTTACCTGTGGTAGTGAGGGAATCCTTTGGATGAAGTTGACAGCCTACAGTAGTTGTATAATTTCGAACTCACTGCTTCTAGCTGTGCCACACTTAATAAAAGCATCTAGCTCTGTCTTTGCTACAGAGGAATATGTTGGATACTCTATCCAAGCCATGGCATGTAGCAAAAACGATCTAGATATGCCCCGTTAAGCCCAAAGAAACTGCCGGAACAACACTCAAAATATCCTTAGTTACAGTACAAGGGTGCACACAGGGTCCCCTGACCTGGTTACTGTGTTGCTTGTTAAGTTCTTGGCTTTCTGTTGTAAGGGTAGGGTTTGACAGCTGAAACTGTGAGGAATCAGTGAGTCCTTATTAGCTGGTTTACAGCGTATAGCACGGATGCTGAACTGGGGCACTGTGGCAGAGAACTGGTGCTGCTGATGAGGCTGCAGTTCCTCCTGAACACCTCAGCCCCCCTGCAGAGATCAAAGAGCTGTCAGCTTCAACATGCACACACACACACACACACACACACACACACACACACACACACACACACACATAGAAAGCAGCATATAACTCTCACTGTCTCGATGAGAAGGTTCTACACTAATCAGATTAGGTCTGCAGTAAATGTGAGGAACAGTCCACGATGGACTGAAATTAACTCTGTACAAAGTGAGAGAAGACCGTTGCGGCTTTGTGATTCACTGAACGAACACAATACAACCTGGAAGCAGTGGTGCCACAAAGCGATTTTGGAGAAGAATATGAAATAATGATATTCCATCTTTTTTTAAATAAATATTCTAACAACACTATTAAATTAACAACCTTAACACATTTGCTTTTTCATGAGGATATTGTTGATGTTTTGTATATTATAATGTAGAATTAATTTATTGTACTATTTCAAAAAAATAAATAATCAGCCTGATGATTGGTACGCTGAGTAAACACTACAAACAATAAACACATGTATCTCTGTGTACACATTACCTTTATTTATTTCCCGTCGACTAAACAGGACCCCTGCGTTCTTATAAATGAATAGCAGGATTAGAACATGATGCATGATATGTAAAGAATCACTGTTGAAAAAAAGGTTGGTCTATATTAATAGTTGTAGAAGATGCAGATATTTAAGAGCACACATGGAGGTGTACGGAGAGGAGGAAAGTAAATGAAGTAGAAAAGAGAATAGAAGATGAGAGATCAAAGAGGTATATTAACCTGGAAGAGAGGAAATATGGTACTGTAGGAGATGAAATATGGTACTGTAGGAGATGAAGCAAAAGGGAAGTAGAAATAGGGAGGAGATGAGTTAAGAATGTGAGGATGAAAGGAAATATGTAGGGAAAGTTAATGTGAAAGAGGAAGAAAGGATACAAGAAAGCAAATGAAGCTGAGTAGAGGACGTCCACTCCTCTTTTTTTGGTGTTTTTTGAGAAATGAGGCTGTTAATTAGTAGAGACATGCATGGTTTATTAAATCAAAGTGTTTACAACTTTCACTGTCAACCAGATACTTGCTGGTCTTCGCTGATGTTGCCATGGTAATTACAGTATTATAATTCTGTTCGTAATTGATGGGCTAACTAATAAAAAGTAATATATTAATAATTAGGCAATAATTGTTTTTAAAGTAATATTTTCACTAGTTGAGTAATTATAAACTGTTATTGGTGAGGTCCGTTCGTTAGTGGAGTGTGTATATAAGATTATTTTGTTAATTGTTTTTAACATTTTTAATTATTATCGGTGCATCTTTTAGTCGCTTAAATGGGAGAAAAAAGTGAAAGACATTTAACATCATTTACAAAAATCCAGTGTGATGTCATCGGCTTGCTTTTTTCATCTCAGAACCCAAATATGTTAAGTTTACAACTGCATAGCAAAGTGCCAGAAATAAATAGGATTTTACAGTTAAAGACGTTATTCATCATTATCTTTTGTGCCTGATTTTGAGTATTTAATTTGCTGTCAGGTTAAGACGCCCGTGAACGCATGAGAAAGACAAATCTCACACATAATGTAAAACAGTTTGTTCCATTTCCATCACATAATACACAGAACGACACACCACCTCCACACTACAAATCACATTTAAGCATTACACACAGTTGCGCCAGCTGCTTCTCTTAACCCTTTTTGTGTGTGTATTTGCTCTCATATGAAGCATATTGTCGAATACATGTTGAACAAGGAATGATGTGAACGGTAGCTAATTGTTGCAATATAAAAGTACAGTAGTGGTAAATGAAATGTTTGCATAGCTGTGTTTGAAACACAGTATGAATGCAGCAAACCGCCAATGATATAGATTATCAATAAATCTGTAGTTCACTGTTTTTATCAATTATTAAGTAGCTTGGTCAAAAAGAAATCTGACAATTATATAAAATATATATATATATATATATGACTCAGTTTCATCAAGCCCCTGTGATATCTTTAAATGATTTTGTCTGAGGAACAGTCAAAAACCATTGGGTAATGTTTACAATAAAAGAAAACCAACAAATATTGACATCTAAGAAACCTGTAAGCACATTATTTTAAGTCAAAACATTTTTTTTTTTCATGAAAAAATTAATCAATTAACAAATTAGTCCAACTCTAGAAACAACACAAAATAAAAAGATATACAGAGGCAAATGAATAAACATACACAAATATAAAGTTAAAGGAGTTCCGGATTGAGCTCTAAGCTTGTCATGTCTGACCTTAGTGTTGTACAAGCAATCTCCTGTCTAGCCAGAACCATTGTTATCCATCGCGAGAATGGCCCTGCACTAATACATAGGCATCATCTGAACAAGACCTTTCACTATTCGAGAATTATATTCTGTTTTTTTTCTACCAACATGTAGTAGAAAGTTTTCCTTCCTTCATTTCATTGTATTGCTAGGAAACAACAAGAAATGTCTCACTAACACACACTCCCATTTTCTCTCTGATACACAAACATATCGAGGCCAGTCAGGCTCTGGGTTGGTTTATCTGCAGCTTACACTGAGTTGTTGGAGAGTGCTGTGCTGCCAGTCTTCTGTGGTGTGTGTGTGGAAAGTGAGGGGGTAAACAGCAGAGTGCGTACATTACGTTTTTTTGTGAGTAAGGAAAACAAGCTAGGGTGTGTTTGTGTTTGCTTGTAACCCTGCAGTGGCCGTGGATTAGACGGCAGTCTGACTTCTGGGGAGTGCTGTTGAAGGAGGAATGGGACAAACACTAATACACATAAACAAACACAGGGACATAGCTTTGTATCGGAGCTGTGAACTCATACAGCCGATGACATTTAACATTGCCTTCTTTTTCTATCGTATATGCCGAGTAGAAGAATTATTTGCTGTACTTGTACATCTCATGAATCCATTTAAAAAGTGCATAAATCAGCCGTGTCAAAACGTGCACAACCTTCACGCATGAACTGGATTGTCTATCTAAATGTGGTTTTCTCACATGTCTAAACCGTGTTTCCCTGTGTGTTGCAGGACTCTGCTCAGGAAGGTGTTATCACTCGGGACATCCACCGCACCTTCCCCGCACACGACTACTTTAAGGACTCTGACGGAGATGGGCAGGATTCACTCTACAAGATCTGCAAGGTGAGATTTTACATTAAGGAATGGAGAGACTCATTGAGATTAAAATCTCTGAACAAGAGTCATCAGTTATAATGAGTTTTTTTTTATCAGACCTGTGCATTTTCTTAATCTATTGTATATTCTTTCTCTTTTGTTTTATTGTATCATATGCACAACGAGTTGTCTCAGTTAAAATAAGCATGAATAAAATCAGATAGTAGTGGACAGATTTTAAATCTTACAGTGCAATGCAAAGCTATATTATTAGTTACCGGAATATGTTTGAATTTGATATATCCTCATTGGATAACACAGAACTGTATATTTCACTTTCTTTTTGGCATCATGGGAAAGAAAGTCAAATCGCAATGCACAATCGTTCACGCTGTGTTTCAACATTTTTTTTAAATCGTTCCTGCTGAGAACCAAGTGCTGTGAGATGAGAAGCTAATTCTGAGATCTATGTTTGCATGTACAATGTGTGCCTTTTCCTATGAAGCCAAGCCATTAGTATTTTAGTTGATTCGCTCTTTGGGGTCTGGCATGGCTCAGGAGGAGTTGGCTCTACAACATATAATTGACAGCGCCCGCTTTCACTGAGACATCAACATAAAACCTTCCTACACATTACGGACATACACACCACTCAGTTGACAGTCGTTTCTTTTTTTTCCGTCCAATCTTTAAAATGGTGGTTGTTATGTAGGTGGCAATTCCTCTCAAATGACCCATCGGAAAAGTTTTTGAATATCAAATGAGAGTCCAGAAATAAAGTTCTGATGCAGAATGTTTCTTGCTCTTATTGAAACTATCAAGCTTCTAGCTTCAATTCTTTCTGTATGACAGAAGTGTTTAAGGAAGAGGCAAAGTTGATGTTTCTTAAAGACTGTAAACTACATCCAAATTCATCCAGTTTTCCATTAAAATGCAGTATTTTATGTTGTATTGCGTTTAATTATTCATGATATTATTTTTATTATTATTATTATTGGTGATGATAGCCCTGCATCACAAAATATAGACGTATTTGACATAACGTACAAAACTGTTACTGCTGCATATCACTGAATGATAATAATGTTATTTTTTTCGCTCTTTTAAACATTATTTCTGGCCCCATCTTACACATTGTACTTTTAAAGCCACCCATACAAAATCATGCATACAATATATTTGATGCTGACCTTTTGTGGATAAAGCTTGGTACCATAAAAAAAAGAAGCCATTTAGCTTCCTTTTCATTACAATGAATGTGAGAAATAAGTGCTTCAAGGAGAGGGTCCCAGTGGACTCACATCCTGAGGTTATTATCTGTGCAGACACACGGTTCATTTTATCTAGACAAAAGCCAAGGTCAGCACTACTGTAATGTATTAAAGCCAATATTAATCTATGTCACTGTTCTCTTCTAAGGTTGTCTGAGGCTATGAACAAGAACAAGGCATCTTTCTATGCTTAGAAAACTAAATATCAAATCAGTGTGTTTGATTTAAAGGTCACCTATTATTCAAAATGCACTTTTTGATGTATGTTATACATAAATATGTGTGTAAGGAGACTCACAAAGTGTCAGAAAATACAACCCTCTCTCTTTTCCTCCTTACCCACATCTCTAAAAACGGGGGTACAACGGAGCTGATCCAGATTTGCTGAGAACTCGACGACATTACTGAAATGTGGGCTAGCTTTACATTGAACTCCTGGCAACGTTCCGCCCATCGTCTCCATATACAGTCGGCTAGCTGAATCCCCTCCCGCAGCTGTGTGTCTGTGTATTCAGCAGGATGTCTACGGGAGGGACTTTGAGTAAAGTTGTTAAATATATAACACATATAATGGCACTGTTCTAGCGGTAAACACTGAATAAAGAACATGTCAAGCTATGTGCTGTATCAGAAACAATGCGTAATATGGTCTTTGTTTACATTAGCAAGCATCGCTAACACTCAGAGCTAATGCTGTACTGGAGAGAATATGTGTAAAGAAGCAGGATATAAAAGGTACTCTCCTTGTGGTAAACCCGCAAGAGAGAAAGCGTTTGAACTCCATGCTGTTTCAGGAATAATGCTTGATGTGGTTTGTAACATAATATGGCGTTTAATCACAGCAGCTTTTAGCTGAGTTTCTGCCGGTAGAGTAGACAGCCTTCTCTTCACAGAGCTCACCACTTGCATGTGCTCCAAAGGGGCGTGGCCAGCAGCAGCTCGGGTAACATTTGAAGCTACAGACCCAGAATCAGCACTTTTGTGACAGGGCCGAAATAGAGGGGTATGAGGCATGGCTAAAGTGGGTGATCTGTTTGGCATTTGGAGCAAAACACTTCAGAGACATGTTTTGTGTAGATATGGCCCTATAATATATTGTTCGAATATAGCATAATAGGTGAGCTTTAAGTTAAGCCCGGGGGCAGGGGCTAAAAACAACAATATTCACGAAACTGTGTCTCAGGCCTTCTTAACATTTAACAACCTATCAATGTGTCATACCCACTTAATGGGAAGAAACTCAGCTACCTGACGATATGAACAATTTTTACCTAAACAAAACACAACTCCAACACCGAGCGTCTGAATTAGCACTAAGCGAAAGGGTGCTAACGCACTTAGCACATAACTCACGGTAGCAATCTTTTATACTTCATCGGATATCATAAGAAAAGCTAAGATTCCACAGATTCCAATGGTATAAGTATCATCACTTCCAAAACTCGCGGCAAATACAATACACAGGTTCACTTTACGGGACCAAAACGGCAAATACGTCTTACCTTTGTTGTTTTCTGATCAAAAGTTGTGTTCAAGGGCATTAAAACGCATATAAACGCTGCTGAAGTTTAATCCAATGTCTCTGTGTCACTTTGAAATGATTACTGATAATCCATCATCATATTTATGGCAAAAAGCGTAGTTTTCATATAGAGTGTATGAGAGCTGTAACCCAGCTTCCGGTTTTGGGCGTGCCGGCTGCGCATCACTCTCATTCACCAATGGGTAATGTTTAGATGGATTTAGGAACTTCCCCTCGATTCTATTGGCTCCAACGGTTCAAAAGAGGTCTCCATCACCAAGATTGACCGATGGGTGCCAGAGATATGGCAAATACACCCAAATGACCCCAGAGGTGGGTTTTTCTTTCTAAACCTCTCTAAAAAGGTCAAATGTCACTTGTTTTGCATCAATCTTGATACAGGGTACTTATTATATGTTATAGTTTGGATTCCTAAAGGTTTGGTCTACTATCGCATCATTCAAGGGGGGTTTTCACTATAAGTAATGGTTTTTTTTGGACGGAAACTATAATTTACATGTTTTTACTATGTTCAATATGAATTTACTTTAAAATAAAAACATCTATATTGATTCTGACTTCTCTACATCCAACTCAAAGGTGTATCATTGCTTTGAGAAAAAAATTAATGATTTACCCCTTGTAGAAGTGAAGATATGGTCATTTGTTCTGGGCATGTCATTTTCGAACCTGAAAAACAGGCTCAGGGCTTAACAGGTTAAGAATACAGATTAATAGTTTACATTGCTTGGGAGTGATCTAAATATAACTGCTATAGAGAAAAATTGGCTTTCTAGAATACATTTCTTGGATAATCTTCAAAAATGGCTCACTGATCGAGTATAGCCTATTAAGTAACGGCAGAGAAATCATTAAACAAAGTTAGTTTGAGGTTGATGAAGAAAACTTTTGCTCCATTGTATTTCCTGCTGCTGCGGAGTTTGGCCGGTCAGCGCTCTGGGAGCACCTGTCAGGGAAGGTTAGCATCCAGTCTGGACCCAACTAGGTCAGTGGTGAGCCAGCCTTCATTTGTATGCAAATCCATGTAGATTTACTGCTGATAAGGTTGGTTGGATCTTGAGGCATGAGTGGTTTACAGGCACAGAGAGTCCAGGACAAAGTTTATATTCATCTTCATACCCTACTCGGTAATAAGCCCCAAGGTTCCCAGAGCTCCGTGCACAATTTGGTTCATTCTCAAATGCTCCACTCAGTCACACTTCCTGGTAACCTGTATAACCTACGACATGGACTGGCTGTCACTCAGAAGGGTCTGCTGGAGCAGTCAGGTGTAAACTGCCTCACCCAAGACTCTGAGTGTGTGTTTCAGGGGAGAGGGGAGCTTTATCCTTCCAGCTGGTGTGGGGATTCAAAACCTGTAACTCTCAGATAAATGGATTAGGAGAATATCTGCTATATTTCCATGGAAACAAAACCTTAAACAAAGAGGGGGGAAAAAGCAAACATGAGAACGCCTCATCAACCTGGCTAATGTTGCATATCCCAGTAATCACTGAGTGTTTCCATGCACACATTATTCAGGATTCTAGCTCAAATCCTGGTGACCACCGTCCGGATCACATCTGTGTGTACTTGTGAACACAATGTGAGCAGGCTTTCTTAGATCGAGATTTACCTCTCAGAAGCCCTTTTTATTGTGAAACTGACACTAAGATTTGATTGACTAAAGTAAGAAAACCGTAATGTAGCACATACAATGTAATGGATACAAGAATTCAGGCTGCAAAGTCTTATCATTCAAAGCTTTAATGTTCTCACATGTCCATAATCTTATTCAGTAATTAATAAACAGCAAGTATATGAAGTACTTCTTTCCCTGGGATTCCCTGGTGAGCCAAAGGTGAAAGCTTTAAGAATGAACCGTAACGTACCTGGTTCTCCTCCAGCTGGGGACCTGTCATAACAGTCTTTCTGCCCTCATTTCCTGTTATCTCGTAACTATGTTTTGTCTAATAAAGGCATGCAGTGCCTAGAAATATACCTTAAAACACAGCACAGATAATAAATGCGTCGTTCCAATAGCTGCAGGATCAACCCATGACCTACTGAATACATACAATGGAATAAAAACGTTCTAAATACTATCAAGTAATTTGTAAAAATGATACCTGACAAAGAAGTGCAGTGGTGTTCATGTGCCAGCCATGATGAACCCACACTTGTGTTTATTAAGACATTGTACTGTCTCCAAAGTGCTCTCCAAAGATATACACATATAAGAAAAACTATTAGCTATGGGAAACCAGGAGTATAGATGGTAACAATCCACCCCTCTGAGCCTATTATCTGCTCAGGCTAACACATTTAGATTTCACCAACCAGGACCTCCCCCATCCATCTGTCAGCGTGCCTTTCTTCCAGCCGAGTTTGGGGACATTTGAATGCTACACTCCATCAAGCATGTCAATTTGTAGATTACACCTCAGACATCTCCACAAGAATTCTCCATTACCTCCACATCAAACCCCAAATTAGCCGAACAGATCAGCAGTGGAGCTCTGAATGTCCACACTCATTTATCAACCTTGTAAATGGGGAGATATTTTTTAACCCAATGTGCGGTGCTTTGACTCTTGTTAAAATGAACGTCAATCAAAAATTGAGCATGCTGCCAAAATATCTGAGGAAGATATTGAACCCTTCCCAGCTGAATATAAAGCATTAAAAAGCTTTTAAAGCAAAAGCATTTGAAGTGCACCACGTGTACAACTGCCGAAATATATACTTTCTCTGGATTTGTGCTCAGTGCTGTTCCAGAGCTGCAAAGCTGCTGGTTTTTCCCATCAGCTTACATGTAGAAGTCAGGTGAGGTGGTTTATGTTCCATGTGTGTTGCCCCACTTACTGTACCGCTGATATCTCCTGTATACAGTAGGCAGGCATCGGACTTACAACAATTTAACGTTTAGAGTTCATATAAGATTCTTCCAACTCTTCTTCAGACTCATGTCTTGTAAGGATGTTTGCAGATAGTAAAAATGGTGTGATGTGTTCTTCATCACTTTTTGCCTCTCCTTGGATCCTCGTTTCACTGTGAAAGGGGAATGTATGTTTGCTCATTAGCATGATTGGTGGATGTGTCAACTACCAGCCGTTTTGAGACGGCGCCTCTCCTGAACGGTCATATGAAGGTTACTCTTCTTGGTTGATCTTGCATGCTTTAAATATGGAAGCAGACAGGTTTCTTATATGGGACATTGGACAACAACGTTTTTTTGTTGTGTCTTGACTTGAGTTACCCTAACCCTAAACACAGCAAAATTAATTTTCCAGTTCTTAATTTGTCTGTAAGATCATTGTTCTGCTCCTTTATTATTCTCCTGCTGTACTTGTCCTTTAAAAAGTTTCTTTGAGTAGCCTTGTACTTTAGATGTTATGTTATCAGAAACAGAGACTTTTAGTGAATAGATACCTTATAAAAATCGAAAGAGGAGATAAGTCGACAATGACAAAGAGAAAAAAAATAAAACAGAGACAGTCCCCAGGGAAATTCCTCTGAAAAATGAAAGTGCTTGGGAGATCTAGATTAAGGCACTAAGCGTTTTGAATGAAATTGGGCAGAGATTACTTGTTCTTAACTCTGAAAAGGAAATCCAACATGCTAACAATATTATCAAACTGCGTAGTCATAGGAAACCCATTCTTCATGATGAGTAAACATAGTTAATCACTGTTCTTATCCAGACTCTTGCTTCTATAACCTTTACTAGACAACAAGTAACGTTAGCAGCATTATTCATGGTTTTCTGTAGGAGGTTAAACTGATTTACTGTTAAACCAAGTGCTGCTACTCACCCCTCACTCAACACTGAAGTGCAAGACACTGTATTCCCCAGCTGCTCCACTGGAGTTGTTCATTGACGGGTGTAACTGAATCACATTGTGGGTGAACTTCGGGCCCCTTAGTGTGAAACTGTGTAAGACAAGGAGTGTCAGAAAGCCATACAGGTTACCGGGTAAATAATGTGCAATAAAAAAAGATAACATGCACATGCCAATGATGGTGATAACATGTATATGCAAGCCTCTCAGAGTTTAAGGATGTATATAATTATGTCTCTGCATTGAACAAAATATGTAACAAGGCTGGGACACAATGGTGGTTTTGTTACATTTGGACCAAAAAAAAACGTAATCACATAATTTCAAACCTGAAATGCTGAGATCATATTTGTCTGATTTACCTGCATTTTATTAGCGAGGGAACCCTTGGTTTTGTGTCATCTAAAGACAAGGACACATATCATACACTCCTCAAAAGTGGCTCATTTAGATCACTTGAGTTTAAATGGACTTTTAGAATTGTGCCCTTGCTTTATCATTAAAACCTTTTGTAAATAAAGATTGTGTATGATTCCTCACTAGTCACATTTGATCCTGAAATGTACCCAAGTTTTAACAGATACAATGGATGTTTTTACACATTGGCTTTAAGAGTCCAAGTATGTTCTATAAGGTTAAAGGATTTTAAATCAAAGCTTTATTAATGCATTGTAAACAACCTTGACTAATCTAGGTGACCTCTGATGCCTTGCTGATAGACTCACCAAATTAATTTCCCTCCTCTCTCCTTTTGTTTCTCTCTCGCAGGCCTACTCCGTCTATGATGAGGAAATTGGTTATTGCCAGGGTCAGTCGTTCCTCGCTGCTGTTCTCCTGCTGCATGTGAGTAAACTCATCAACAATCTGTCCACTGTCTCATGGTCAAAAGATGCATCAGATTGATGACAATGTATACACACATGCACACCAACCTGTGATGAACAAAAACAACATAGATGCTACTTTGTAAGAATAACTTTTTCTTCACACCATGACTTCAAAAGTGAAACTCTTTGGAGCTGCTGGAATGTAACCTTGATGCTACAGACGTCTTGAGTAGCAGTTATACAAACGTTTACATGATACACTTTTGATCAAAGAAAATAGCTTGGCATTGTGCAGCTGCACCTACACATCTCTGCATCTATAGAAACCAAGTCTAGCTTGTGCTGGGTGTAATAAAGCAGAGGCGAGACCATATAAGAGAATAAATTAAAGCTGAGAGGGAGACAGAAAGAAGGTCTCTGGCTGACCACTGTAATGAAAACACTTCATAAAAGAATGATGTTGATGAATAGAGGTGAGTTAGAGAATGCAAAGAAGGTAAAGCTGAAAGCATAAGAGATTCATAGCAGTAAATGTGAAGTTGGAAAGGGCTGGACAAGATAATCATTCACTTCACATATTATCCAAGGTCATTGACACATTTCTTAAAGTAACTCCTGCTCTGTAGGCCAATCCCAATGCACATGTAACTGTTGTGCAGTGTTTCTTGTCTGTTCAAATGGGGCTGCAACTTATACATGCATCCAAAATCTTTATTTAGGGAAAGTGTATAAAGACAGATGGAGGAGAGACAGAGGTGTAGACACATGGAGGCGGGAGTCCCAAATAGAAATGGGAAGTTTGGTTCAAATCCTAATCACAAGGGCAGCCGAGGTTAAAGAGGGGGAAGATGGAAGAAGAGTGGAGAGCGAAAGATAGGTCAAAGGAGGTGGGGCTATTAGAATAAATGGTAGGATAACCATCGATGAGTTTAGTGAAGACACATCACGATGTACAGAGGAGACAGGAGTGGAGGAGGAAATAAGGATGAAGTTACGGAGAAGGAGGGGGAGAGATAAATGGGACAGCAGCAGTAAAAGAAAGAGAGGTTATACAGGAGGAGGAGGAGGAAGAAGGGAGAGGTTATAGAGGGGATGTCAGGAATATTAATAGGGGTTCAGGTTTACCTGCAGGAGCCCATTCAGTCCCAAACACATACTGTCACTCTGGTGTGTGTGTGTGTGTGTGTGTGTGTGTGTGTGTGTGTGTGTGTGTGTGTGTGTGTGTGTGTGTGTGTGTCCACCCGTACCCACCCATATACCCAAACAGACACACACAGTTTTAAGATACTCTCATGCCTCTTAGCTTCAAGACAATAAAGCATCACATGAAATCTAAATTCTGCACCAACTGGATGCCATTCACACCTTTTCATTCATCTTGTCATTCTGGCTTCATTTGGAGCCAGTCAAATAACGCAGGATGATTAAATGTGTCTGTATCTTGTTTTGAAGACTGCGTGAACATCCACTGTCATGTGGAAATCTGCACATGTTCCTGGTGGAAGTTAATTGTTATTCATATGGTTTCAGATGCCAGAGGAACAGGCCTTCTGTGTTTTGGTAAAGATCATGTATGAGTATGGCCTCAGAGCTCTCTACAAAAACAACTTTGAGGATCTTCACTGTAAGTTTTACCAGCTGGAGAGGCTGATGCAGGTTAGTGATGCAATGCTTTATAATGAATAACTTAATATGTAATGATACTGTACTACAATGCAATGGAAAGTAACATAATGCTCTGAAGATAAGCCTGAGTGGAAGAACAGACAGTAGGAGGACTCGGTCTCTTCACTGTATTCTTGTTATTTTATCTTTAATTTATTTAATAACCATACGGTACATTTATGTTATGGCCACCAGTTTTGAGTATTTTGCTCGTCATTTTGACTTGGCCGTTGCTTTATACTACAATATTTGGCAATTCCACTTGACTGGTCTCAAAAATGTTAATTTACACTAGATTACAACAACATTTCTACTTTCTTTAGAATCCATTTGGCTGTTTTATTTAATTAATTAATGATTGAATGGATGGTTTGTGGGATTACATATACTGACTTTCCACTAAGAAGAAAAGAGTAGCGGATGGGACAAATAGCTTTACAAAATGTATTTGCATTTTCCATAAAAGCTAGGGAAATATTCAAAAATGTCACACATGTTTCCAGGGATTGCATCATCTGAGGGGGACGACATGTTTGTTGTTGACTCGTCATGGTCACATATAATAATTATAATAGAGGACACATAGGTCTTTGTGTTTGAGACACCATTCTTTCTGTCTGTTGAAGCTGATAATTCTGCCGCTGGGTAACTTTCCTCACACTCAGGTATTACAGCCTAAATCCACTCACTGAGCAAAGTTTAATTGGGTCCTGATATCCATCCTGGCCCTGATAGCAGGTGTCTTGCAGAATCAAGATGAACTTGGTTAGCATTGACCAAATGTGATCAATGTAAGGATGTTAGCATTGACTGCTAATTATTAGTGCACAGCTCACCATCTGCTCGTGTCGGGTGTGAAATAGCACGGTAAATGTTGGTCAAAGTTGATCGCTATCTGGCTTATGTTATCGTTCAATCACTGTACATGTGTGGATGCTAAGACTTTTAACTTCAAAATTATAGCTGCCTTATTCTCCTCTTGTTATCAATATTATAACAAATCAAAAGAGACAAATAAGAATGAACATAGTGAGAAAAGATTGACTATTTAGTTGAACTCAAATAGAACAAATTTAGAAACCCTAATCGAATAGACTGAACAGAATAATAAAATAATAAAACAGCAGCAAATTGTGTGAATATAATTGTTTTGTATAATAAAGTACATATCCCTTTTTATGTATTTACTGGAAGTTTTAACAATGTGAGCTACTATTTATATAAAATGTATTTGTTAGACAGCTGGGACTGAATGGCTTTTTTACAACTTTTTATTTAGTTTTTGGGGCGCTTAAAAGAGTGTTCAGGAAGACAGCATGATTTAATAAAGAATTAGGAAAAAGAAAATGTCAAATTGAAATAAAAAAGCGATATTCTCTAGTCTTGTAACTGCTCTTTTATCTCAAATGTACCCTTGTTCTCTTTATTTGTGCTCCCACAGGAGCAGCTTCCAGACTTGTGGTCCCACTTCCAGGAGCTGAACCTGGAGGCACACATGTACGCCTCCCAGTGGTTCCTCACACTCTTCACTGCCAAGTTCCCCCTGTGCATGGTTTTCCACATCACTGACCTGCTGCTCTGTGAGGTATAATGTAGCTCACTGCAATTCTTTTTTTCGTTGAGTATATGGAGAGTGATCTAGTTAGTAGACATTGTCCAATGTGGGGAGGGTCCACCTTCTAGAAAGATGAGAGGGGGAGCAAGGATGTAAAACTGAACAGCTAAGAGTCGGCAAGTAGGGGGCACTTACTGCAAAGCTATACCAGCACTTATGCATCACTTTGTCTAATATCTTACCAATGTAATCAATAGAGGTGTGGTAATCAGGCTTTTAAAGGCTGATGATATCATGGATGTAATGTCATTAGGACCATTTGACCCGATACCAATCAACAGCCCTTTTCTGTCACTCCATGACTCAATATTTAAGAATGAATATAAGGATAAAGTATTCTGTGATATTCTGCAAAAACTTTTTTAGCTTTAAAATTCTAGAGAACTGTATATATTATCACAGAGGAGCTTGTACGATAGAAAGGTAAAAAAACACATTGAACTCTGTTAAACAGTTGTTGTATGTGTTCCTACATGATCTGTCATAAGTAGCCGTGTGTCTTGAAGTTACTACTTGAAATCACTTTGACTATCTGACACATGGTATGGATACAAAACTCTTAAAACTATAAAACAAACAAATCTGTCAATGCTCAATAGTTGAACCGTTATCATCATCATATTTTTTGCAGTTCTTTAGAGTCCTTCTTCATTGTTAAAGAATAGGGAAACAAATAATGTTTAGTTATTCATCCTCTAAATGTGTCATAATGTAAGAAAAAATTGTGTTTTTGAAGCGTAGAACTCAAAGTAACAAGGGACCATGAACAGAGCCTTGAGTTACACCATGCCAAGTGACACAGCAAAATAGTGTGATCCACTGAATCAGACTGTCCTTACATCTCACCATGACTAAGAATTCACCACCCTTCAATTTGATATGTTTGTGTTCAAATTAAACTGACACATGGGTGGAATTATTAGTGATTTTCAAATATATTTCTTTATTGGTTTGACATTTTTCATTGCATAAACATTAAAAGCCAAAATGCTATATTTGTTTCCTCTTCCGCCCATCATTCTCTCTGTCCTTCCCCCCCCTCTCTGTGTCCTCCTATTGGCCCCAGGCAGGACAATTAAAAGTTTCCCAGGTCTTTCTCACCCAATGAGCCGCATGATGAGAATCTGCTCGTTAAACCAGTTGTCATCTCCTGCATCCTTCTCTGTCTGCCCCCCTCTCCATCATCGTTTCCGACTTTTTATTGCTTCTTCCTTCTATCATGTTTCTCTCTCATAGTTTTTTGTTATTGACTTTTGTACTGCAGGTCTTTTTTTTTCTCTGCTGCCTCTCCTTCCATGATCCAATCTTATAATAATTTAACCGGTGTGTCAGTATTTTGCGAGCTAAGTTTTACAATTTTCAAAACAGTTGCAGAGTCATAACCTACATATCTGAACACAGTACCAGGTATTGTTTGTTTTGCAACCACTAACGCTGTGTCAGCCATTTCTCTGAAGTCCCCTTCTAACGGGGGAACAGATGCCAAAGTGATAACACTGAGGCTAGATCCAGAATTTCTGAATGAGGAGTAAAGAGATGTTTTTTCTGTCCCTTATCAGATTCTTTTTATGTGGGAATACATGGGTTTAAAAATCGTAATTTCCACTGATTTGTAAGGAGTCCCAAGCTCACAGCTTGATGTCGCATGATATTTTTGAGGTCATAAACTGAGGTCACCAGTAACTATTGTAATGCTGCGTATCAATATCACTTATGATATGCACGTTATTTCAACACTTAACTCCTACCTGGTCCATCGCCCTGTCACATTCCCAGTCCAAGTCATGATGTTTTTGTTGTCTGCATGTTTATCTCAGTTTCTCCTCTTAAATCTGTCTTGCTCAGATACACAAACACATACACACACTAAGAGATTATCTTCCTATCTCTCCTACACACCTTTGATCCTGCTTCAGCACTGTAGCACCATCTTGAGGCCTACAAACAAAGGTGTGTGTGAAGGCAGAGCTCCCCCTCTCTTTTATCTGTCTCCGGTTATTTTTAGAGCCGTCCAGATATTTTTAGCTCTGTGTTGCCATGTGAACTGGTTGTCATGGGGACCAAGGAGACGGGTGTTCCCATGCAGGGCTGACATCAGCTTCACATTTTCTTTCTTTCTGTGTCAAAATCAGAAGCATTGTGTCAACAAAAGAGGGAGGGTAAAACACATAGTCGCAGCAATTCATGTGCATGCTGTAAATCAGTGAATAGAAACACTGTCTGTGATTCATATATGATCAAAACATGTACATTTAGGACTTTATCTGTTTATTTTCAAGTTGTATTATCTTGTTATTTGCAACTCAGTTTTTTAGACATCTTTTGTTAGTTATCTCAATAGAGATTCATTTAAAAAGTGGGTAAATTTATATTTCCTTTCAATTATGCTGCTGATTTACAAAAATAATGTATGCTCGATTTACTGTGCAAATGCAGTTCATACACAAACACATGCACTGTTAAAGGGTCATTATGAACACATTTATGATGTGTCAACTTTAATACTGTATATACTGTATATCTTTTTATTCAATTGTTGTGTATCAGAAACATATTCACTGATGCTCTGACACATTAAAACATCCTGATAAACATGAATTGCACAAACCTTTTCTGTGTTCATATCTAATCGTCCTTTCTCTTCCAGGGATTGAACATCATTTTCAACGTAGCCCTGGCCCTGCTCAAGGTTAGTACTATTTGTTATATATGATGAAAAATTATTCATATAACATGGATTTAAGAAAAAGCCAATCTGGACTCTTTTCTTAACTTCAATTATTGCATGTAAAAATAAAATGTTAGTTATGCACAGATGTTTTGAGCAGTTTATAAGAGTGTTATTTATGAAAATGTGTGTACATCAAGTGCGTACATCAAAGCAGGAAAACTGCAAAGCTTTTGGAAAGAATGACTGTGCAAAAGAGGCATTGTGGTGTGAGGAGCTGCATTAGTACCTACATTATTAGGAAGAGGTCAGAGAGTTGGCAGTTATTGCCCTCTAGTGCTCAAATCAGAAATTGCATCATGAAGTAATGAGGCAGGTTGTATTTAAGACAAATTAGATGGCAGGTTGAATGTGATGCAGGGTGCAACAACAGCAAATAATACATTTCAATGTATCGTTTTACTATTATGGTGTAGCATGTGTTTTGAGCAGTGTATGTATTGATTCATAGTAATAAAAAAAAAGTGTGTGTATATATCACCCACACTGCCCTCAGCTGAAGTTACTAGCTTATTAACAAATGCAATTACATTTTAAACATTAATATGCAGGTAAGGGTGAATACATCGTTTTGATAGAGTTCCTTCCGATGTTGAAAAATGTAAGAATGATTGCTCATAATTCATAAATGTACATTTTCAAAAGTAAACCATTTGGGATGTGGTTTCATGAAAATATAAAACATAGGCACATACAACAAAATAGACATACATAAAGTAAAAACATGCAAGATAAAAAGAGCAAACAAAACAATATGTTTAACATTTGTCTCGAGCTAGAAAAAACATGTTACAAGTCGTGAAGTGTAAGGTAGTTAAAGAAATGTACAACAATGTACTGAGTTCTAAATAAATATTTCCAAACATAATAATAATAAATTGTATTTGTAAAGCACCTTTCATTGCTAAAAGCAATCCAAAAGTGCTACAGGAGGCGTAAGAAACTAATAAAAGAAACAAAAGTTTAATCAAAGGCTTTTTTTTAAAAGAAAGGTTTTTAGGCCTTTCTTAAAGGTGTCAGTGGTCTGTGGAGTCCTCATGTGGTCTGTGGAGTCCTCATGTGGTCTGTGGAGTCCTCAGGTGGTCTGTGGAGTCCTCATGTGGTCTGTGGAGTCCTCAGGTGGTCTGTGAGTCCTCAGGTTGTCTGTGGAGTCCTCAGGTGGTCTGGGAGGGAATTCCACAGGTGAGGAGCAGCTGCACAGAAAGCCCGATCCCCCATTGTGTGGAGTTTGGTCCTGGGGGGGCGAAGCAGATTTTTTGTTGTGGAACGAAGGTTGCGTGTGGAGGTTTGTGATGTGAGTAGTTATTTTAGGTATGAAGGAGCGTTCCCGTGGATGCACTGATGGGCGAGCAGTGAGATCTTGTATTCAATCCTGAATGAGACAGGAAGCCAGTGGAGGGAATGAAGGACGGGTGTGATGTGGCTGTACTTTCTCACCCTCATCAGGATCCTAGCGGCACTGTTCTGTACGTATTGGAGCTTCTGAAGGCTCCCGCTAGGAGTCCCGATGAGGAGAGCGTTGCAATAGTCAAGCCTTGACTTTCCATGTGGAAATGATGTTTCCTTCAGAGCTGAACGGTTTAGAACCAGTTGTTGTGTTATCAGATCTGTTTGTGGTGGGATGGATCGATGACTGCGTCATATTGCATGTCGGTGTCACGTTGGTCAATGTGGACATTCATTTGATGGTGCAGCACTTGTTGAAGTCGTGCTGAAGCTTCTAGAGATCCAGATAATGAGGAGTGGGATTTGTGTTGTGATGCAGTCTTAGTATTTTTAAAGAACTAAATAGAGAATAATTTAGCATGTCTACTTTTCATTTATTTTCTTGTTTAAAGATCAAGTTTAAAGATCAAGTTTAACATACAAAAATAACATTATTTTATGTTTAATCTGGAAGTCATGTAACACATGGGTCATTTTAGTTGATCCATGCTAAAATGATAATTGTTCCGTTTCCCTTTTTATTTTTGCCATCCCCTGAAAACATCATGACTATTCATAAAATCATAGGGAAATCAGTAAATCCATACATGATTAAAAGGTTCATGGAGGCTGTACAGTATATGTACATGATCATCAGTGAGAGCCATTATGGATACGACAATAGTTTTTTATCATAGTTGCTAATAGAAAAATATGGGTTAGAAATCATAAAATATATATATATATTATCCCCAATCAAGTTTAATTTGCCATGAAAACCAGTACTTCAAAATCTATTATCTGCCAATACTGAATTCTGATCCAGTATTTAATAAAATGTTCTAACACAAACTTTTAACTATAGACCTGATAATGATAAAAAAAAAGACAATAAATGTTTCAGTTCCTTCCATGATATAAATACTCACTATAATAAATAAACTAAGCGATTTTTTTCTTTACCTAGTGCGGCTTAATCAGGCTTTGCTCTCTAGACGTATCATACAGAGTTAATCAAAAAAGCCCTCCTGCTCTATATGAGAGCAATAATGCATTGTGTGTGTCAGACAGAGAAAGATTTGGTGCATGCGATGGTCGGGAATGGAGAACAAATGAGGATGTGAGGAGGGTGGAAGGGGCTTCCACTGCCTGCCTCTCATTGGCCAGGCATGACGGCATTCTCCCCTGAGGTTCCCTCCTCCCCCTCCACCCATCCTGCTCTCCTCTCTGCTCGCATCACCCCTCCCTCTATCTGTGTCCACCTCCCTCCCTCTTCTGCTTAGCACTCGCCATGCACAACAGGAGCATAAGCTAAAGCGTTAGCAATCTGGACCTGGAGGAGAGAAGCTCTGTTTATGTTTTTCAAAATTGTTCTTCCTCCTCGTCTTTACCTCCCATTGACGCTTCTTCTCTGCCAAAGCTCTGTCTTCTTTTCCTGCCACCCATCTACCTCCACCTTTTCTTCTTCTGTGTTGGCTGGCGATGCATTTTGTCATGATGCTACCTCTGTTCATCACCCAGAACTCTGCCAAGGAGCCGCCCCTGCTTACTGCTAGCTATTAGCTGTTAGCATAACAAAGAGGAAGTGAGGAAGGCTGAGTGAAAAGGGAAAGCTGGTGGACAGGAAACGCTGTGTGGTTTCTTTGCCTCACCCCAGCTGCTGGCTACGACCATCACTCCTGATAACTCAAACTCTAATGCTTACACTCATCTATTTAGCCTTTGTCGTAGAGAGGCCAAAGTGAGTTTCCATCTGAAGGAGCTGGCTTTCCATATAAATAATCTACTGACTAATTAAAGACCGGATGCCTGGATGCTGCTCCTGATGGATATCTGCCGGAGTGAAAAACACTGGAGTCCATACTGGAGCTGCTGACTGGACTGTGCTGTTACTGCTCCAGTGGTTTGGATCTACTGAGACTTCAGATCAGAGGGTCATATCGGTGAAGAGAAAGAGCAAAGATACAGAGAATCTATTGTTATACGCTCTGGTTTTATACCTCTTTCCAAGCTCATCTTGGTTTTCTTACATCATTGGCTTAAATCTGACTCAACGAGTTCAGCATCCACTCAGCCATAAGCAAACACGAATGCATCATCATCTCCGGAAGGCAGAAAAGGGGCACACTCCCATGAAAACAGACCACATTTCGACAGCTTCTGCCCGCTCCTCAGGACCGCCTGCTCAAGCTTAAATTGGGTTTATTCAGATGAAAGGATTCATGCTGTTAATTCAGGCCATTCCACATAAAAAAAAGCTTTAAATCCTGTCTGCTTCACACCTGGTGTGGCTTCCTGTTTGAAAACAGGGTACAAAACCTCTAGTGCTTTGATGTGTTGTCACGCCCGCACGAAGCCTTGAGCATTAAGGAGTCTCAGTTGCGTAGACTGAGGGAGTTTTTCTCTCTGGCTTTGAAGTCTTACAACTAAGAAAAAAAAAAAAAGGTTGCATACTTATCCATCACTGCTGTTTGCTGGAGCATCAGCCCACGTGTTGAGAAGCTTTGTTGCTAGGCAATGGCGTACTGTATTGGAATTGGTTTTGGGAGCTTGGCACGGGGAGACTAGATTTGAAAGTGAGTCTGGCAGGTAACTGGAAGACTCATCATTATGCCAAATGCAATGTCCATGCATCTTTTTCTGACTGTTGTTTTATTTCATCTTGTGGTCGTTACCGTCCTCTGACAGTGGTACAAGCCGAGTGGCATCCACCGACGTCCACTTCTCCATATTCTGTGGGGAGTAGATTCACTTTATTAAAAGGAACCTGCCCGGTCTGCTGTGTGTTCCTAGGACACTGCTTCATGTGGTGTTATCAGCTCCTTCAACCAGATGGTCAGTCACCTCGTACCCCGGGACTCTTTTTGACTAGGGGGTGACCTCACGGCAAAACTTAGCTGAGGGTGAATAAACTCTGCTCCCAGTCCACCTGTCCTACAACTCCAAGAAATCCACTGGGACGTTCGGACTACACGCTGGAGTCATCTGCCGCCCTGGCCCCTGAGCGGGACCGCCCCTCTCCCTCACCCTGCCCCACCCCACCACCATCTCCTCCACTCTCCTCTCTGCCCTCTCCTACCTCTATACCTTCCTTGACCCCGCACCGGCCCCTTCCAGCAGTGCACATGGCGTTGGAGGGCGGAGAGGGAAATGCGGAGGAGAGGGCAAACAGCAGTGAGGCCTCAGCAGACTCTTTCTGCAAGGCGATGGGTCTCCTTGGGATGGGACACCGGCTCTTCGTCCCTAAACTGCTGGCGGTGAGAGAGAACTAAACTGCACATGCAGGGTTGCTTTGGTTAAGAGTTACAAAGTCACCTTTTTAGTTTGACTTGTGTTAAACATTAAAAGTGCTACTGTAAAGGACGGATGGAAAAACAGGCAAACATGTCTCAGACTAGAAACTTCTGTCTCTTCTCTTCTTGCATTGGTCAAATAAATATTATATATAATAATAATAATCTGTTTTTGGTGGAGGTTTGAACTTCAACCCTTTTACATATTTTGAAATTGAAAGTTGCACATTATTTTTTGGACCATTCCAGATAAGAATGTGCAACCTTCTAGGTTGTCACACTAGACAGAGGTGCCAGCCGAATGCCTGAACTTTATTTGCAGGAGAAGGCTAGCATGTTAGCTTTGTGCTATAAAACCTGATTCTGTACAACTATATCCATATAGAAAACTCCAACAGAAAGCTCTTGGATTGCAAATTTCAACTCTTGCACTTACTGTCAATTTTCAAGCTGCCTAAAAGTTCAATTTCATTATAACCAATACTGTATTCAATTTGAAATTAAACAGACAAAACTCTGGATCATTTTGTATAGCTTGTCTTGGAATTCGAGTGACAGTTGAACAGCCATGTACAGTACATAAAATATTTTCTCTGGATACATTATTTTGACTATGCATCCTTACACCACCAGAGGGTGATATTTATTAGCTCAGTTACCCAGTACAAATTCAGTGACAAAACAGCTCCACTGTTTGAGTTTTTGTGTACAGCATCTTGACAGAGTGCTTGTAAATGACCTCTACTGTAATATGTGTGCTTGCTGTGATTTACATAAAAGGTCAGTGATCTCAAACTGCTTCACGCAACACCTAATTAATGAAACACTTTCAGGGCCACACCACCCTAAAGGATCATTGAAGCAAGAGACCTACAAACATTAGATGACTCTTAGTGACCATCATATGTCTATCTGTGTCCCATCTCCTCATGTCTCGCTCCAGACGTCTAAAGAGGACCTCTTGCAGGCAGACTTTGAAGGGGCTCTTAAGTTCTTCAGAGTCCAGCTCCCCAAACGCTACCGAGCTGCGGAGAACGCCCGCAGGCTTATGGAGCAGGCCTGCAACATCAAGGTAAGGAGCTCTACAGACCAACACAGGACATTTCTATTCCTAAGCCCTTTATTCCTGACTTTCCCTGTATCTTAATTTCAAAGTTTGACAAAACCTTTTGCACCGTAGAAAACACTAAAACTGCTGTTTAAGTGTGTACTTAGGCACACTTACAACTCATTCCTGGATTCTGGTAGGATTATTGTAGGAATCCAAGCAACACAAAAAGGATTTATGATTATTATAAGTCTTAGCATCTCACTCTGAGACACAAAACACTTTCCCAGAGGGGTCAAAGGTCATTGGGCAAGTCAAGAACAGATTTGGCCTTCGTGGTGATTAAATGCAGCGCGGGGTACTGCAGTGACATCCCTAATTTGTCCACACAGCACTATAGCTGATCTGTTTGTCGGTGTCCCTCATGACTTTTAAAAACTCTTTCTGTCTTTGTATTGTGTTCTTGAGTTTTATTTGCACTGCACTACACAGAGATGTGAGTCTAAAAGAGCCGGTGATACTGTGGCATTTTGGGTTTTCTGAATATGACTTCAGGATTGGATGTTGCCAATGCTCTCCTATTCCATTTATCAAAACATGACTAACACGTTAAAAACAAATCAACAAAATAACTACCACACAAATGATGCTCAGAACAGGAATAGCTTTTTTAAACTGGATAAACGGCGGGTGGGATCTCTATTGTGTCAGGGGGGCGGCCGACATAGAGGGGAGAAACAAGTCTCAGATAATTACTACATTCTTTAAATTGGCTGTAAACTATATTTTATAACAACATTGCGTCAAGTGACAATGCGAAAACATTGTTACTATGTCAAGGGGGTTGAACCTACAGAGAATTAAGATTACAGCTTCTCTTGTGTTTACAGAGCTCTACAATGTACCGAGTTGCATAAATCAACTGTTTTGGTTCAGACAGTTGTTTTTAGCTGACATGCTTTTAAAAACCCACTGAACACTAATTGCTAAGTAGTTTTGACAGTCTAATGAATAGTTGAGTTGTGTTTTCTTAGGTTAGGGTTAACCCTTTGCAATATGCCATGGTATTCACTCTAGCTGTTTGTTGTTGTTTTTTGAACCAGTCTTTATGTATGTTGCAGTTTATTGGTCTTTACTCCAATTTGTCTTTAGCAGATAAAAGACTTCTTCCGTGGATGGTTGTAATAGTTTTCCTCAGAGCATACAAGGTTGAGTGGACACAAACATTCCTGCACATACACGGAAACACGCGTGTTATCATTCTCCCAATAACCTTAATGAGACTGCTGGCATTTGGGGAATTTGCTAAGGTCACCAGAGACCTGTGCAGTACATGGTGTGTGTGTGTGTGTGTGTGTGTGTGTGTGTGTGTGTGTGTGTGTGTGTGTGTGTGTGTGTGTGTGTGTGTGTGTGTGTGTGTGTGTGTGTGTGTGTGTGTGTGTGTGAGATAGGGGAAGGAAAGGGTCGACTGAAAGATGGAAGAGATAATCATCCTCCCTCTGCCCTTCTCTTTTTTTTTCTCATGCTCGCTTTTTGTTTCTACATACAGTTAATATTTTATATTTCAGGCATTTTCCGATTAACTTATCTTCCAAAAAACTTTCAGTGAGTAAGCAGGTTGTAATGTATTGTTGTGTTGAAAGGCATTTTGCCAGTACAGGCAGGACGCATGTCTCCAAATGAGGACAATGCTTACGATCACCCCATGTTTGCTGAATTTCAGTGTTTTTTACATACAGGATATCCTGCACTGTGACTCACTGTTTATCTCTAGTGGTTTAGTTACATTTTGGCCCTATTGCACAATTCAATGCAACCTGTCATACCAGGCTTTATGTTGAACAAGAGCATACACACACAGGTTTTGTGTGATTAAACACACATTTTCATCAAATCAAAATACTGATTTTGATGCAGGTATGTTGGAAAGTCACTGGATATTGTCAGACTCTTGGGAGGGAGACGCCTTAAACCTTAAAGTGGACCTATCATGCTATATTTGTATCATATATTGTAGGGCCATACCTATATAAAACATGTCTGTGAAGTTTTTTTTCCAGGACTGTCTCAGAAAATTAGAATATTGTGATAAAGTTCTTTATTTTCTGTAATGCAATCAGAAAATAAAGAACTTTATCACAATATTCTAATTTTCTGAGACAGTCCTGGAAAAAAAACTTCACAGACATGTTTTATATAGGTATGGCCNAGCCCCCATATTTATGTAGCTCTTTTATCTTCTCCTGCACTTTATATATCGTAGCTGCTACATTGCACTGCCTTGTGGTTATGGCTTCTATGCTGCTCATGCTCTTTCTGCATATCATGTATTTCTGTTTGCCATGTATATAAATGTTATGTTCATAAATGTTGTATGTGACGGCACTACGGATGGAAATTAGCTCAAAGCTAAAATCCGGCTAATTTACATTTAAAAGCATTATTTTGTTTAAAATGTTCATTAATGTGCATTGTCCCGGTTCAAATAAACGATTAAATGAAAATGAAATATTCAGTCTAATTTAATATAAAACTGAGAAATCTCAATATTTGAGGAACTGAAAAAAATACTTTAACGGAAATGTTATCAAATTGTTAGTGATTATTTTTATTAAATAAGTTAATTATTATTTGATCAACTTATTGTGGCAACTACAATCATCGTTACTTTGCTGTGTTATTTGGTGCCTTAGAAAGGCATTGTGTTGTTTTCTCATGAAGGTACATTTTCTGATTTGCTCCAGTGAGTGTGGCTTGTTCTTAGCCCTGTAATATCTACCCTAATATATATTAACATTACACTTTTTATGCATGTCAACCTCTCTATCAATGTACATTTCAAGGCAGAATTCTGTATATATATACCAGGTTGATATTACTAAGGTTCACACAATTTGAGAGAGACATATGTGAAATACTCACACTGCGCCACTTATTAGCATTGATAAAAGGCATTCAAAAAGGAATAGGTGGAAGCATAAAGTCACTTACTAATAATTGCAGAAAAGAGTGACCACATAAAAAAAACATGAGCCACAATGAATTATTTAACTAAAATACATAAATAATATAAGTACCATATTAATAAAACAACATTTCTTAAATATATTCTCAATTAGTATATACACAAATATCAATATATTAATTGCTATAAATAAGGTAACAAGAGGTAACCATTCAAATCAATCCGCTCTTTTATGTTCACTAAACTTCACACTCGATTAACTATAAACTAGACTCATCTAGTAAGATATTTCAAATGTGATCAAATATATCTAATAATCTGGCCTAAATCAGTTACCATGAACAAACTTGAATTTTTTAGCTAGCCATGTTAACATCTTCATTCTCTAGGTCTTTCTCTGGGATTCTATATTTTTCCTTCTCTGTAATTATTCTGTCTGTCTCACTACGCAGTGCACATCATTATTTCTTCTTTCCCTGTTTGTCGAAGTGTAGCTTCTCTGCTGGAAGGATTAATCCGTCAAACCCTGGGCGGCAAATTCATATACGACATCTCTCTCCTTCTTTCTTTAAGTCCTGAAAAGTCATCACACCAGCTGCGGTCGGGCGGATGTTAAAGAAGGCTGAGAAATTCAAATTCTTCCCATAATCCCCAGAAAGGCTAAGCCACCCTACTGCCCGTTGTGTTCATCAAGCCAAGGTGCCAGTGAATTCTTTCGATGTTTTAAGCAGCTTATTTAAGTTCAGCTGATCCGATTTAAACGCTGACAGAGAAAAATATGTTAAAAATGGCTGGGGGTGAACCGAGAGCAAAGTGGTCTGAACAGAAAGGTTTCCCCTATGTTTCTCCGGTGGCGTTTGAACATGGCTGGTCTTCCCTAACATACTTTCTAAGACAGCACTCTATCGGGCGTGGCGTGTCACAAGCTGATGCTCAAGACAGGAAAAAACGTGAAAAGTGTAAGACAAGGAAGAAAGGAATTCTTCTGTAAGTCCTTCTCCTCACTCTACAGTCTACAGTTTCATCTCTCTCCTTCTCAATGACTTGCTCCATATACTTTTATCCACAGGGAATGTTCTATTTTAAAAGCTAAAAGAGGGACTGGTTTAAAGACTGTGACAGTAGAAAGAGCAGAACAATTAAAGCCCTCAGACAGAAGCATTGACACTGATCCAATGTGTAAACCTTGGCTATTAGGAAGTGTTCAGTAGATTCCTCACTCTCTTCTCAAGTATAATGGTTAAATGGGACCTATCATGCAAAATGCACTTTTGTATGTCTTTTATACAGGAATATGTATCCCCGGTGTGTCAGGGAACTCACCAAGTGTCAGAAAACACAACCCTCTCTCTTTTCCTCCATACCCAAATCTCTAAAAACGGGCTGCAACGGATCTGATACAGACTGATACAGATTTGAAATATCTCTGACGTCAGAAACGGGGTGCTCTGCCTATATGGCCAACTCTCCACCTATCAGGGGAATGAGAGGTTGCGTGGCATGGTAACAGCATGGTAAAAGCATGGTAACAGCATGGTAACATGACGCTCGTGCCACGCCCCCCTAATTTTGCAGGGGGAGGGGTCAGCTGCAGCTCATTTGCCACAGAATCAGCCCTTTTGAAGACAGGGCTGGAATAGAGCAAATAGAGCAAAATGAGGCATAGCTAAAAGGCATGATCTGTTTGTTATTTTGAAAAAAAACTTCACAGACATGTTTTATATACAGGACTGTCTCAGAAAATTAGAATATTGTGATAAAGTTCTTTATTTTCTGTAATGCAATTAAAAAAACAAAAATGTCATACATTCTGTATTCATTACAAATCAACTGAAATATTGCAAGCCTTTTATTATTTTAATATTGCTGATTATGGCATACAGCTTAAGAAAACTCAAA